GCAATCTCGGGTCTTCAAGGATGCAGGACGGCAAGCCAATAATGCTGGAATATGTGGGCAGCCAATTGGAGTTTCCAGGAAAGGGAAGGAAAATGTGGGAAGAGCTTAGAGAGGAGGCAGTGGAATTAGATTAGCTGGTGGGATTTAATTCCAAAATTAAAATGTCTGATTTTGGAAAAATTTAAAGAGGTGAGAGCCTAGGGAGTTACGGCCAAGAAGTAAGGAATGAACGCTTGAATTATTTCTCAGAATATGGCTTGGCTTTTGGAAAGAATTCCAAAGAGGAATTATATGGGGGCCGGTGGTTTAGAGCTGATGGAGAGGATTTGGGAATTGATTTTGGGTGTATTTAATAGGCTAGGGGATTTAGGAAAGTAATTAACTAAATCCTAATTGAATTTTAATTTCAAATTGATTTAATTAAAGAACTTTCCTAAAATAGTTTTGATATTTTAGGAAAGTTTTTGAATTTCAAATGGAACAAATTTGAATTCAAAATTATGTCCCAAAATACTTTCATCCAAATTAGGCAGGGTTTTAATGGGGATGAAGAGGTGGACGATGGCCGGTGGCTAGAGGATTGGGCCGGCGGTGTGGAGGGGTCGGGTGGGATGTTGGCCGTGGGTGTTGGACGGGGGAAAAAGAGGAGGTTTCGGGTGAGGCTAGAATCCGGCGGCCAAACGAAGATGGGGAGGAGGAAGAAGATGAAAATGACAATTATGAGCAATAAGAAGGAACAAAAACAGAGAAACAAAATATCAAAGATACAACCGTGAGCCCGGACACATCCTGCGGCTGACGGGTACTATGTTGCCCTTCTCCAAGGGACTTCACGCCACGAGCCTGGACCCATCCTGTGGCTGGTGGAAACTCCAACTCCCACCCATAGGGATTTCATTAATGTTCTTCCCAAAGAACCCAAGTGCAAAACACATTTTTATTATTATTAATAATCCATCATTCCATTACACAAAAAAGGGTCTCTATATATAGGCCTAAGAAACTAAAACAAGACACATATGCCCCTAGGGCTTACATAGGATGACCCTCTTAAGTGAGGGTAAAAACGGAAAATTCATAATAGAATTAATAAAAATTACAAATAAAATATAAGATAACGTGGGAAGATCACGACCGTCGATCTTCAGCTTCTTCTCGGATTTGCATGGACGGTTGGATGTCCGCATCACCTATGTTATTGGGAAATGAGAGAGACCGATCCTTCAACAAATAAGCCACAATATAGTGTATGCAAAGAAGTAATACTCATCAGCTCTTCCTAAATCCCAATAAGGCCCACACACAACAAATAAAAAGACTAATATAAAATGTTAAATACATTATGATTACTTATCCCTAAGATCTAGGGGCTGTTTGGATAAATGGTTTAAGCTAGATTTGAGTTACATCTAGCCAAACACCAAAAAGGCCTCTTCAAATATCATGATAAGTTAAATCCCGAGCTAACATCCTTTTCCACCTTTTTCCCCTAAATACTAGATTTAGTAAGTCCCATTGTTCGGTGGATTTAGGGAATTAGCCGAAAAAGAGAGCATGAAATGAATGAAATATCATGACCTTCGTGGTGAGCTTTCTTCGTTACTTCCGATCTGATAGGAATAACATCATCAAATGAGGCGAAGAAACTTCCTTTATTTCAAGATTTAGCTACCCTTTTAAATATCGATCTCACATAAAGCAGGCAAAGTTAAACAAAAACAAAGAAACATAGAAGATGAAAAGCAAACCTAGATTGACTTATTGTTGTGGGAAGACAAAGAGTAGAGAAATTACTAAAATAGGCATGCACTGGCAGAGAAGTTCACTATAGGAATTAATTAGTTTGTTGAATTAGGAATATAATGTAATTAATAAATAAATAATTAGTTAGATTAATTGATAATTAAATTATATTCTAATTATATTATTTATAATTGTTAGTTATCAATGATAATTAAAATTAGATTAATAATTTACTCATAAACTATTACAAATATAATCAAGATTAATCAAAATTTTGATAAGATTTAATTATAATCCTATTCAACATATTATAATTAATAATACAAATTAAAATTGTAGTTTTAGTGAATTAACCACCTTAAATCTTGAGTTGTATTGCTAAACACTCTCATAAGATTTATCATAATTTAACATATTCCTTACGAAACAATTTTTAAGATTTAATATGCTCAAGATTTAAGAAATCTAGATTTATAGGATTTACTAAACCTACTTGAATACAAACAACCCCTAATCTATAAGAGGATGTTGACGAACCCTATTTCTTGCTTGTGAATGTTGAAATCTTGTAGTTGCCATCAGGAGAGAATCCAAAATTGAAAGTTCCGACTCTAAGAAACTCTAGCGGAGAGGATATCTTCCGCTACTTTAATACCATATAAAGCATTTTGCTCAGATGGTATGTTGTGGAAGCTTCCGAAGATTAGCTTGAAAAATCTTATTCTAAAAATAACTTTTCTTATTATGCTATCTTGCAGGGTGAAGATTGAATGAACTTTAAAAAATGACCCGTGAAAGCTTGCATGGTCTACGCATGATTTGAGGCTAAAACAAATACCATTTTTAGAATCCTTATTTAGTTATATGTGTTAATTGAGGTATGCCCTAATTTGCATTTAATAAGGGATCATAGCAATTGAAATCTAAATAAAAATTCAACGTTAGTGATCACATCAAAGCCTTACACGTGTTAGATAAAATAAAATAGAATATCTTTTTAGTATATGAAGAATCCTAATTTAGTTACACACGTTAATTGAGGCATGTCCCATTTGCAACATATGAGGTTTAATACCATTTGAAATTCAAATCAAAATTAAAGTTTCTCGATCACATAGGTGCCCAACATATGTTAGACAAATTAGATACTTGGTAGGCTAATTAGCCTTAATTCATAAATTCTCCATTTCATTTGGAATGCATTGTTTCTACTTGAGACACGCTAATTTTCATCTACAACCACCAAATTCTCTTAATATATCATAAATTTGTTTAGTTCTCTCCCAAAATATAATACTTTAGTCATCAGTTAACTCAAACATCCAATATTTATTCTCTAACGCAATGATTACCACATTTCCTTAATCCTTAGTGATATACTGTATACGAAAGATTAAGATGTGGGACCCTACTCCCCAAGATATGCATGATTGTCAATAATTTTTTGGGGGATCCTCATTATAAAATTATATTCTTTAATTCCAAGACAAATCGTTCCCAATATGTTGGCCTTAACATAAAACATAAATATATTATACAGAGTTAAGTGAAATAATTATACAATGAATATGGTGCTATTTCAGCGGATCAAATCAAGGAAGAATAGAGATACTTCTACATGACATTTTCATACTTGCTATCATCAGTCCAATGGGATGGACCATTTCCTTCGTCTTGAAGCCTTAGAGGTTTGGTTCTCTTTGAAATGGAAATATCGCTTGAAATATTTTTTAGATTTACTAAATGGTACAGTGGGGAAGGACCTTAACAGTATTATGCATATAGACAGAATATTAACTTTATTAAACTTTAATCATATTATTGATGCAATATGTATTAGAAGAAATATATGCTTAAGGTGGAATGGGAAAGAAATATATGCTTCGATCAGCGAGTAAAAAAATTAGAAAATTTTTTCCAAAATTTGAATTTTATGCTACTCTCTTATTGATGCTAGAGCTTCTCTTCCACTTGAAAGAATTCTTGTGGCTTGCTAAATTAATCTAGTACATTTTTAACTTCGTATTACTCTTTTTTGTGAACTGGCAGGCATATTAATTATTGCATGCATAGGGTCAAATTGTTGCAACATCATGGTGTCAAACCTATTCTTGTGTTTGATGGAGGGTTCTTACCAATGAAGATAGACCAAGAGACCAAGCGTGCAAGGTACTGTTAAAATTTCTTTAATGATGCTTGTATTCAGTTCCTTGCGTTTATTTGTTTGGTGGTATTTTATTTTTATTCATGTGATTGCAGTTTACTTAGATCTCTATTTGATTTTGACACGTATGGATGAATGACAAGTCTGATTGTGTGTGTGTGTGTGTCTCTCTCTCTCTCTATATATATTTCTCTTCAATTTTTCATTGAAGCTCCCTTTCTCCATTTTAATTTTTTCCCATCAACTTCTAATGATATCAGTCGCAGCCACACCTTCGCTATCTATGCCTTTCATATTATTTCAGCCCTTGCTTTTTGAAGTTTTCTTCTCTGCACGTTACATCTCAATCTATTTTGTAACACATCATAGGCAGGTGATGCCATCCTTCTACCTCCTACTTATCGAGAGATTATAATTATCATCATCCTAAACAGCTTTATCCCAACTTCCTAGAGTTGGGTTTTCATTCTCCATTCATATGGATTGATAGTTTCTTAAGTGCCAACTTTATGTTAATGCAATTCTCTTTGCACTATCTCTACTAAACCATTTTTTTGTCTATATTTTTCTTTGGTTACTTTTTAATATTAATTTTATTTATAAGACTCATTTTACATGCCCAAATCACTTAAGTCTTTATCTACCAACTTAGAATTAATAAGGGGCACCATTTTCATATTGCTCTAATACAATTAATTTTTAATAGATCTTTCCTAATTTTACCACTCATCTATCTTAATATTTTTATCTTCACTATTATAACCAACATTTAAATAACTAAAATTTGAATAACCTTCAGGCTTGTTCCATTGTCAAAATGTCTTTTGGCTGATCTGGTACAAAATAAAAAAATCTGTTTAACACATCAACTGCTGAAAACCACTTGCCCTGTCGGTTCAACCACAGAACTGGATAACTGGTCCTGTTTCAAGAAACATCACGTATGTTCCCACCATTTTTTTTTCTACGTTTTGAGAGAACCTAATCTTACAGTTTGCATCCCTCATCTTTCCTTTGCTCGTTTTTGTGTATTTCACCATCAGTCATCCTCTTCAACTCCTCTAATGGGGTTCGAGGAAAAAAAAAAAAAAGAGAATAAACATGACACTTGTTCACTAACGGGTCAAGAAAAGTTCACCAAAATGAGAACACAATGTTTATCTTTCATTTTTTATGAGTCAAAAATTTCAAATCAGAAATGAAATAACCCTGTAAATCAGAATGCATATATTCTCTTGGTTCAAATATCAAAGCAAACAATGCAATTACAAGCATGGACTTGCATGATAGATCTTTTTATGATTTTTACAGTTGAGTTGGCATACCCATCAACATGTAGCCTGTAAATTTTCATTTTATTATTGTTGGCGGTATACCCGTACACATTGGGCAAGGTGATTTGAATGTTCAAGTAAAAAAATGATTATTATAACTTTGTTAAATACATAACAGAATTTTCTTGAAAATAATAATGAGAGTTTACTTGAGATTGAGTAGAGAATGCAACAAATATGATTCACACAAGAATAAGAACATCAAGTTTAAAATGGGTTGAATTCTAATCATGCATGCATCTACTTCCAGGGAACTCCTTGGAAAATCCACTATGATGCCCTCTTCATGGGTGAAACATTCAACCTTACTCCTTTTTCCACACAAGGAGAAGATCCTTGGTCTTTTTAACGGGATAAAGGTTAACTTCCACAAAGTTAACTACATGGATATTTCAAATGAATCTTCACAAGAGGAATACAAGGAGACCAATGCTGGGCAGGCTAGCTCAGCAATATGTATCAAAACGTTAAAAAATTTTGCAATGGAAAAAAAAAAAAATCTATGGATACAAAGGCTTGCCAAGGTTTAAACTTCGAAGTAATGCAATTATGCCGAGTGAGCAGAAAGAGTGAAGGAACGCAAGAATCAAAATTTCTGCTAAAGTTCTTTTTTCATAATAGGGGTTCTTTTTTCATAATAGGGGAATGAGTACACTTTTCTAGAGTACATTCAAACAAACATACATCACCCTAGAGTACATTCAAACAAACATACATCACCCCTCAAATATAAATAAAAACTTTTCTATTTTAACTTTTCATTACATTAAAAATAGACAAACCTAAAACTAAATAAGAACTTTCAGGGTTGCCTTATGAGCTTAAGAACACTTCATTTAAGAGTTTCATGAAGATCTTTTTGTGAGTATCCATTATCGATGGCAATATAAGTGTAAGTAATTTAATTTTCTTATTTTTTGTTCAAATTAAAAAATGAAAAATATATAATTTTTATTCTTTTAACTGAAACAATAATTTATGATTGTTTAATAGGAAGAAATATAGTTTGTGATAGTCTCAATTCAACAAGGAAGAAGAAAATCTGAGGTAAGTAATATTAATTTTATAAATCTCATTTAATCATTTTGTAGGATATAATAAAGTATGTAAATAGAAAAAAGTAAAATAAAATAAAATTAAAAGTGGCTTAATTATTTGAAGAACTTTGACGGTGTTTTAGCAATATTCTACGTAGTCGACGTTATCTTTGAAGATGTCTGATGCATACGATGTTACTTTGATAACATTCAGTGTCTTAGGATTAATATTAATAATATTTTGGGCAGGGGATGAATTTGACTGTTAAACTACGATAAAGCACTAGAATCAAGCTAAGGTTATTAGAGAAAATTTGGTAAGAGTTAAATTTGTTAATGCTTATTTAATTTGAAGCAATTAGAATATGATGTTAATCAGTTATGTGGATTTACATAAATATATTATTAATTTTAGCTGATAAATTTATAAAGTTTATTTAAGAACTGAAGGAATTTGGAAGAATTTTTAGCTCGCGAGAAATAGTGAAGTGGGTGATTACATATTTACATTTATTTTATAATAATATCTTTCTATTTTGTTTCAATAGAATTGTTTGATATTGTATCGTGCCTATGTATTGGTTATATTTTAAAGTATTTATTATGCATTAAATTGAAAAAAATAAGTAATTAATATTAAAATATGGTAAATACAAATAGTGGAGCAACTTATACAAATTGATATGTATATGTAAACGAAAATAAATGAATAAAATGAATCATAATATGTAAATAAAAAATATTGAAAATGAAAATGTATATGCATACAAATGTAGGAGTTCACCTCTTTATGGTACTAGTTGGGAATGCAACATATCCTGCATGCTAAAGATAAACGAAAATGAAAATGAAATTGATTATAACTTCATTAGTACAAAAATTTAGACAATGGTCATGTAATAAATGAACTGTTAAAGAACTAGGTTTAAAAATAATAGAAATTTTGATCTACATCTATATTAAATATTCATTTGTATGATAAATGAGCATGACTAGATGAGTACTTATATGCATGTTCAATTGTTATATTATAACTTATAATTGACACTAAGTTTGTTATAGAAAACTCAAATTTTTAAGTTAAAAATTTCAGGAAAATTTCCTGTGGATTCAATGATTGATAGATAAGAGTTCGTATGGGGAACAAGAGGATCAAATGAAAATTAGTAAGAATTGTTTTATCAAATGTTCATATTGAAAAATTGTTTTAGTGGCTCTTCAATTTTATTTGGATATTAGTCTATTGAGTAATTATTGATATTGAAAGAACTATGCTATTTGTCCAACTTCTATTCCTATCTCATTAACTTGAGCTTTCAGATATGGTCTTGAGAAAAGTGGCATTAGAGCCCAAATATCATATGAATCATGCTAAAAGAGCCACTAGGTTGAATTATTAAATTTAAGAAAGTTGATTTGAAGTCATATTATAAATTTAATTAGATATGTTATTTCATTTCAGGACTCATAATTGTCCCTAAGTGAATGTAGAAAGAGCAGTACCCATGGTTTAAAATTGTGCAATATGAGGTCCGCCTCAGCACAATTCCAGTGAAAAACGCCTCGAGCTTTTTTTTAGGCTTACACCTCAGCTTGGCTGAGGCCTGCTTTGCCTTACTAGTGTGAGGTGTACGCCTCAACCGATATATATATATATATATATATATACATTAAAACTTACCTAAACCCTAAACTAAATCCCCTAACAAATCAAGCCTTGATGCACCCCACAGCCTCAACCACCAGCTTTGTTGTAGCCACTGTCGGGAATCACTTGAAAGCCGCACACCACCATCACCTCCTTTAAAAATTTTGGAGTATTATTCTCATCTTTATGTTGATGACAAATATTTATGAAATAAAAAGATGATTGAAATAAATGAAGAATGAATAGATTGAGAGGCATTGAACTCCGCAGGATGAGACGGGGGAGAGATCAATTTGTTATAATGATAACTCAAATAAAGACCCCTCATTGATGACAGTGCTGATGATTTCCGAGTTATTGCCAATTATGTCAGCTTTTTTTAGGAATTGAATGTGGATGAGTAGGAAACTAAGAAAGAATGAATTTGAAGTTGAACTTAATGTTATAGGATACTTTTATGTGATTCATATATTTCATGTTATTTTTTCTTGTAATGTTTGGATTTCAATTCTATTTCACGCAATTCATCACTTGTCACTTTTTGTCTTGTGCAATTTTGTTTCATATGTATGTCAATTTGTTACCTATTCTTGTGAAACCATAAATACATAGAGATTAAGTGTTTTACATTGTATGATTTCCTCACAAATTAATATTATATCATGTTAATATCTACTTTACAATTAATAATGAAATGACATCAGATAAAAAAATAGCAGTACAAATTCATAAATAAATGAAATAATTTGTAATATCATTTAAGACAATAATTAATTGTTTGAATCTGTTGATCTTGAGGTTAAAATGATAAGAATTAAACAAGAGCAGGAATACAATTAGCTATGAAACATACTAAGAAAAAGTATTAAAATCAAGGAAGACACTAAGAAGAAGCAATGCTATCGTGGAATTCCTACATGTTGCTTCGAGGACATCTTTGCTAATATCTTAGTTTTAAATATTAAAATTGTTAAGCATAACCTTCTCATCCTTCTATATTGGTGAAAGCCTTGGTTGATCATTGGAAGAAAATAGAGTCCCAAATATAGAAGTTCTTTCTACTTTCTAGCATGGCAGTATAAGGAGGTCTTCCTCTGGAACACAACAAATTAAAATAAGGATAAAGTCACCGAAGCTTGTGAAGAAGAGAACCTAGGAGAAGAGGAAAGGGTTGGACGAGAGTTTTGTGGTTGTGAAAGCACTCAGAGAATCAACAGTCAACATGATTGTTGATAAAAATACTTTTATATGAATTTTTTGTTCTACATGAAAAAAAAAAAAAAACATTTTCTTCTCCAGGAAATGTTAAGTAATTTTTTTATGGATGAATAATTATACACCCTAGAGGCAATGATGTAAAATTAACAAAATCTTTGCATTTGAAATGTCATTTGAAATCAAGCAAAAACTTGAAAACGAAAAAGTCATTTGTATTAATTGTTTAAATTATCATTTGAAACTAATAATGAATAAATCTTGAAATGGCAATTTCGAATTTTTTGAAGCTACAATCTATTTTTAATTTGATGAATGGTGATTGAAATTATCAACGAGTAAGATGAAAGGCTAATTTTTTATGAAAATAATCAAAAGCCAATTTTATAATATAGTAGTAGTATATATATATATATATAAATTGTAAATTTTATGATTGAGTCCATAAGGAGATGATATTTTTACCCTCCGGGGTAATATATCGTATTCTTATGCCGCACCCGATTATAAAATATGCAATCCGTTTGAGGATACAAAAATTCTCCAACAAATTTGAGTCCAGTTTTCTCTTACTATGATTAACATGACTATGCCCACATTATTGAGAAATGAGCCCAGCTGTAATTTTCTTAGATTTTGAGAGATGTTTTTATGATGAGAATATTATCATTTTGTAATATTTTGATAGTCAAATCTACATTCGGAGAGATGCTCTATGTCACGTCGCAAGACCCCTCTCGGTCGAACATGAGGCATTCAGAGACATGAGATTTAATTCTCATATGCAGTAATTTTTAACTTGGTAAAATTTAAATATTAACACAACTCAATTTATCAGAAGCATTTTCAAAATTTCTCGTTTATTTAAATACAGAGTTTCTAATAAATATCAATATTTATTTATATAATATCAGAAAATTTATTTATGTTTTTATCTTACAACAAAACTCCACTAAAAATTAAATAATCAATCAAACTATGATCGTTATTTAAGTTCTACTTTGCCCATTCCTTATTTGAAATAACATGCAACATAATATTGGATGAGTTTAGAAGTTCAATAAGATAAACAATTATAATACTAAATAGAAATATCATAGAAATGGAATTATTCTCATGAATTAGTCTTATAACTTATATGTGATCTTTAAAATGAAATTATTTGAATAATAATTAATTTAATAGTAATTGAAACATCTAATAGAAAATGAACCTTTAACAAAATGTTATAGAGTTGAAAACACTGTCAACACGACGTTAATCTTGTGTATAGATTTCATCATACTAAACCAATCTTTTTATAATTTCCCTTGTTAATAAAAAATATTTTCTTTCATCTTAAATATATCATGTATGTAGGTGGGAGTATGTCTATTGGTTATAACAAACTTGAAAGCTATGTATCAAGGACCCTTTTGCTTTCATAAGGCCTATGTTTGTTACCATACTTGTACATGTTATCATGTGTGTGCGTGCACGCGCGCCAACCTATCCCTATACATTACCTTCCCTTAGCTCATTCAATTTCATTTTTTAACATATGGATGTATACATCATGCATTTTCATTTTTTTAAAACATTAAACCTGCACTTATAATTTGAAACTGGCTAATAAATTTCGTTATTTTATATAAGGAGCTTATATGTGTTTACTTAAATTAGAAAATGTTTGGATTTATTTGGTTTTATCATGGCCCTTGAGTATGTATGATTATTGAAAACACTAAATCCATGCTGAATGCTTATTTTTGAACATAGGAAGAGGAAAGAAAACCTTGAACGTGCTATGGAACATGAAGCAGCTGGTAACTCTGTGGCTGCTTTTGATTGTTACCAAAAAGCAGTGGATATATCACCTTCTATAGCTTTTGAGCTGATTAAGGTAGGGCAAATTTGCGTTTTGGTGTATAGAGGATTGGTCTATTTTAGAGTTATATTGCGTGTGCTGCAGAATTAGTTTTTGACTAAATATCACATTTAGCTTTCTCTTTCATACAGAAACCTAATTTGTAAATTACATGAAAATGCACTTAAGGTGCTAAAACAGGAAAAGGTTGATTATGTTGTAGCGCCTTATGAAGCTGATGCTCAAATGACGTTTTTATCCATGTACAAGCATGTTGATGCAGTCATTACCGAGGACTCCGACCTGATACCATTTGGTTGCTCCAGAGTGTGTAGTTTCTTTACCGCTTCTTAAACTTTCCAATTTCTGTGTTTGTTACTAGCCTTATAGCTTTCTTTAGTTTTAGTGCTGTCAATGTGCTAGTTTAGTATTTTATTTTTGTGTAATAAAGCATTTAATAATGTGATAAATTGTTAATGTCTTTCAGATCATCTTTAAAATGGATAAGTTTGGTCAAGGCGTTGAATTTCGGAGCTCATTGTTAGATCAAAATAAAGACCTTGATTTTACTGGTTTCACTAAACAGATGATACTTGAAATGTGCATTTTTAGTGGTTGTGATTATCTACCATCGCTGCCAGGTATGGGACTGAAAAGGGCACATGCACTCATCCGAAAATATAAAAGCCATGAGAAGGTAAAGGTACTCATTTATGATTGGCATGCTATCATGCAATGATTCATTATGCCATTAGTTTATTTTAATTTTTAATCTACTGCCCCCCACTCATAATTATGTTTTTTCCTTGCAATTTCCACGTGTAACAATACTTACAAAATCATGTTATTTAAAAAAAAAACTTATTGGATCTAAACATTCATCTTTCATGGGACACATGCATTTTACTGTCAACTTAACATCAATTCTCAATCTTTCACATATAAACTTAAGGTTAGTAGCGATATTTTTGCATATTTCTCAATTGATCATAGTCGTTAGCCTTGGCCAACAATTTGGATTAGCTTTATGAGTTTTCTTTATAATTTATTAATCACTACATATTTTAAGATTAAAATTAGCAAAGCACCTTACAAAGCTTATAAAATTCGGCACAAATATTTTTTTAACCCATATATAACTTTTTAAAGCTTTTTGCTTGCAACCATTTTGAGCAATGTTCAACTGCAAGAAATTTTTTAGTTTGAAATTTAAAATTTTTTATGCCTTCAATTTTTTTTTTCCTTAGCAAGCTTCCAAGTTTTCTTGAAAGCATTACCATCTCATCACTATCTACATCAGAGCTTGAGTTACTAAGCTCATCGTTATCATCAACCTATAATGATTTTGCTTTATTCTTCTCCTTCTTGTCAGGGCTATCTAACTTATCCCTTTGAGATATAATCTATTTATATGTCAAAGAGTTTAAAAGCTGATGAAGTGGATACATAGATAAATTTTTAGCATCACTAATTGCTGTTACTTTAGCATCCTCTTCTTTAGGAAGGCATCTAAGAGCTTTATAAAGTAAGTTTACATTCTTATATGTTTAAAGAGAATATAATATGTTAATTATTTTCATATAAATCAAATTATACATGAATGCACTTCTTCTAGATGCTCATATATATATATATATATATATATCAAAAATGGATTCAGAAGGAGACATACAAAATAATTCATATTCATAAACAAGTCTATTTATATGAGCATATTTAATCTTATTAGTTTCTTTATAATTTATTTATCCAAAATTTTTTTGTTGAATTTAACATGAAAATTATTACATAACTATCTGGAAGAAGTGCACAATGTAAAGTATTGCTCGTCCCAACATTTAGCTCATCTGCCTCTCTCTTTGATGCAATTTATTCATCAAAAGGCTTTCAATTTTTATTCTATTTATTTTTTTAATGGGTATATGATATTGATGTGTAAGCATGTGTCATATGCATGAGTCTTGTTTTATTAAGAATGTACTAATTTTATTTTTCCAATAATAAAATGGAATATTATTTAACAAAACTCATCCATGAGTAAATTGTCCTTCAGGAAGTGAACTCTTAGGATAACATTGTGCCATAGTTTATAAGTGGATGTGTTTTTGGATGTTAAGCTTAAAGAAAGAGCCAAGTCTCTGATACCAATTATTTGAAGATTGAGAGAGTTGGGGTTTAAAAAATTATTAAATAAAATAATTTATACAATTTTGATGTTAATTGGTAAGAGAATAAATAAATTAAAATTTTAAAATTTTGTAAATAATGTTAAAATAAAACAAGTACAAGTACAATATAATACTAGGCATAATATTTTTATGTGCTTTGGTTAAAACACCAATCTAGCCTACGTTTACACTGGCCAACTATCGGGCTAGAAATCCACATAATCTTAGGGTTTTCTTATAAAGCTTACTTCGTTAAATAAAAAAAGTTACTTATAAATAAAGTACTCTCTTGCACGGATGAGTACAACCCAATCTTCATATTATATGAGCTTTCTCTGAGTCAAATGTCTTAGATTAAGAAAAAGAATACAATTTGTTATCGACAATAAAACTCAAATTATTTCATAATAAAATGATTAAAATATTTGAGATGATTTTATATTATGTTGATAATCACCTTACTACTTATAAATGGACTATAAAATTTGCTTACTATAGCATATGTTTATAATTTGATTTATATGAGTAATAATTTACTTAATGATATTTTGTGTATTGATGAAATTTAAATCATATTAAATATATATTCTAAATTAAAATATGCATATAAAGTATTTCAAATATATGCTAAATTTAGAAAGTAAATCTATGCCACATTAAAGCAGGTTTGCTTGTTAATTTAATGGATGAAGGTATTTTAAATGTAAAACAATTATTCTAAGGTCCTCAATTAGTATTTCAACCAAAACTAAATATAAAAAAATATAAGGCGACAAAAGAAAAGAATAGCAAAAAAAAAAAAAGACAACAAACTCAAGAACTTAAAAAAAATCTTCGATAGAGTACGTTGAAGCTTCTGAATCAATGATTTAATTTTGCAAAGTGTAAAACACTTGATTGAAAATCTGATGTTCACCTCTCAAGATTCATCAAGAAGAGAGCATGTGTTGGAATTTTCAAGTTAAGAGCAACTCTCCCATGAAGAGAATGAGGGCTAATTATAAGTAAAAGATTATTTAACTTAATTTTAAAGAAATTTATTATCTAATATTTTTTTATCAAATAATGATATGATATTATATAAAGAATTGATATATATTAAAGAAATATTAAATTCAGACGGCTAGTCACATGTGTAAGTAAAAAGTCACCAAATGTATCTAATAGAATATAAAATAGTTAACAAACTTGCAATATTAAAATCAAATATATTATATTATATTAAAGAAATATTAAATTCAAATGGTACTCACATGTGTAAGTCAAAAAGTCACAAAATATATCTAAAAGAATATAAAAAAATTAACATACTTGCAATATTAAAATCAAGTAATGTTTGGATAATCATTATAATCCGATTTGAATCACAAGGGGGTCATTTAGCCTATGAATTTGTATCTACAAAATCTAGGAATCCAATGGAATAGAAATCAAACCAAAATTCAATGAATATAAAATAATATTTATTAAAATAAAAATTTTTATATATGTAGATTTTTATTTTAAAACATATTAAATTTTCATACAAAAATATGAAATATTTTAAATAAAATCACATATATATTAGCAAAATTTTATCAGAATTTTAGTTTAAAATGGATACATTAAATAAACTAAAAAAAATTCATGTAATTAGATTTTTTATTTGTAATTATCCTAATTAAGTATTTGATTTTGATAAATTTTATACTATATATGATGCATTTAAAAATATATAAATTACCATAAAATTTAATTAATTAAGGAATCTTATTGATTTAAATGATATTTCTTTATTAGATTTAAACGAGATTTGACTTTTAACTGGACAAAATGGAGAAAAAGGATTCATGTAGCCGACCCCACGTAGTGGGACAAAGGCTTGATGTTGTTGTTGTTGTAAGGAATCTTATTGATATCTAATTAATCTTTATTCTTAATTTGATAATAGGTAAAGCACATCAATAGATACATGAATATGTGAGCAAATCAAATCATTCAATTAGAATTCTATAGACCTTTAAGTTACTTCTAAATGAATAAAATCTGAAATATTATATTTAAAGCTCCCTGCTATCTATTTTTATCCATCTTGTGTCTTCTATGCTCAAATTTTGATTGAATTTGGATTGTGAAATGTACATCCCATATAGGTATTCATCTTGCACATCTATGGATCCAATACACCTGAAATAATTATCATACATATTAGAATATTGAGGCATACATTTTTTATTAGCAAAATCAATATCATAAATCATCAGGTTCCTAAGGCCAACATAATCTTTTGATCCATCTTATGTTGTTTTTTTATCAACATAACTTGAAATTGAAATTTCGTCAAAGTGAATATATCTACAAGTTAGCTGTCCAATACATGAATGCTTTGCTGCTTCTCAAGTGTGATTTACATATGTTCTTCACAACACAATGCATATCTATAAGCTAGTGTGCCTTATATGAGATAGTAAGCCACTGTATTTTTTTTTTAAGATTAATGAGCAAGTTGTTTGGAAAAGTAGTGCTTATGTATGTTTCTAACTTTATATATTGAAGTTTTGTGTTATTTATTATGAAACTCTAATTGTGCACAAAAAGTTCTGAAAAAATGCATGGCATTGCGCTGATATCGAACATGGTTCCTGTTGACTTACAAAATTGAAATTTTAAGTTATCTATATGTTTGGAATATGGCTTGAATGATCTTTATTATGTCTACTTGAAGGAACTTATCTGTCTGTAATGTCAAGAAGTACATGGTTAATTTTATGACTGAATGAGTTTGATCTATTAGTTAGGTTTTGAGTATATAGTTCAACTTTTTAGGTGACCAAACACTTGAGGTACAGTGGTATCTCTATACCACCTGTTTATGAAGAATCCTTTAAGAAAGCAGTTTGGGCATTTCAGCATCAGAGAGTATATGATCCAGAGAAGGAATGCATAGTACATCTATCAGATGTTCCTCAGGACATAGGAGAAGACCTGGACTTTTTGGGGCCATATCCTTGATAAACTAATTGTTTATTTTTTTCCTTTTTTTTCTTTTCCAAATCTCGTTTCTTAACTAATCGCACTTGGTTGCCTCCAGATGTTGTGAAAGGCATAGCCAAAGGAGATCTTGATCCATTGACAAAAGGACCATTCCAGGTTAGTAATAGCTTTTATAAAATGGAAATAGATCTATGTATCATTTTCCATTAGTTGTCTTGTCCCTCTCACAGAAGTTTTATATAAGTTATTGAAATGGGATCAAAATAGTCCCTCAACTCTTTGTGAGGGGTCAAAAATGGTCACCAACTCTTTTGAGGGACAATTTGGTTCCTCAACTTCTTAATAATGGGCCTTTTTTATCCTAACATCAAATTTTATGGTTAATGGTATTAAATCAAAGGGTATTTTGGTAATTTTTTAATTAAATTATTTATTAAATATAATTTATTAAATGTTTTATTAATAATTTAGTCTATAATGATCCTAAATTAAAACTAGAATTATTAATAATTTTGAAATTAAAACTAGAATTATTAAAAAAAAATTATTAAAGAAATGTTTAATATATTTTTTAAAACCACTATTACTTGAAAATTACATTTAATAAATAATTTAATTAAAAATGACTAAAATACTTCTTGATTTAACACCATTAATCTAAAAATTTAATGTTAGGACTAAAAATGCCCTTTTTTAAGGAGCTGAGGGACTAAATTGATCCCTCAAAATAGTTGGGGAACATTTTGGTCCATCACAAAGAGTTGAGGGACTATTTTGATCATTTTCTCATAAGTTATTACTTATTAGTTGTTATCTTTCCAAGTTGTAAAAACGGAGGTTTTATACAAGATTCTGATAGAGATCATGTTCATGTAGCCAACTATAATCATGCATTAGTAATGATATTTTCACATTAGTATAAGAGGATTGAGTAAATGCTTTGGGATTGCCCATGTTCAATGAGCTTTATCACTTATCAACAAAGAGGATGTGCTTATTATGCATATGCTACCTCCACTGGCTTGGGAGACGAATGATTTTGTTAACTTGATACGGTTAAGAAACTATTGATTACGTCCAATATTGCTCTCATGAAGGGAAAAAAGTTGAAAAAAATATTTATCATGTGTATACTGATTTTCGCCAGAATTTTGAACTATTAGAACTTTCAGAACATAAAAGACATAAGAAGCTTAATAATACAACAGTTGAAGTTGAGAATCTAGCCTTTTTCATCATGCAGTTTATGTCATTACATAATTGTGTTTCCACATTTCATTTTTCAGTTTTCTATAATGACTTGTTCGCATAATTGGGAAGCGCCCTCATTTTTCTATTATTTTTTTCTAGGTTGCTTCTTTCATGCAATTAGTACTCCTGATTATTGGACGTTATACTATGTTCCCTTCCTCCTTGAACAAATAATTAGCAGACTGGGTTTTCTATGTTCGATGATAAGCAATAGTGGATGGAACTGGTCATCTTTTTATTTGATGATTATCCTCTTTATACTATGTTCCCTTCTGTCTATTATTGCTTCTTTACTTTTCTGCAATTTCTCTTTCCCTGTAATTTTTGGGTAGAATATTATTCTCCTTCTGATCCTCAAGAGAAACATTAATAGAAAAGAATAGAGCTTGTTGGAGCAAGCTACTACTGATAGTTGGAAGTCTTTTGCCAGATTAAAAATCATTAAGGTTTGAATATGTTTCTTTCGCATTAGGGGTGTCAATTTTTGACACGACCCGAACCCGACCCGGAAAAATCCGGGTTCGGGTCAACCCGAACCCGAAATAGGTCGGGTTCAGCAAATCAACTCGTTTTAAAAATCGGGTCGGGTTCGGGTTGACCCAGCAACCCGAAATTGACCCGAAAGTCACTCCTTCTGATCCTCAAGAGAAACATTAATAGAAAAGAATAGAGCTTGTTGGAGCAAGCTACAACTGATAGTTGGAAGTCTTTTGCCAGATTAAAAATCATTAAGGTTTGAATATGTTTCTTTCGCATTAGGGGTGTCAATTTTTGACACGACCCGAACCCGAAACAGGTCGGGTTCAGCAAATCAACCCGTTTTAAAAATCGGGTCGGGTTCGGTTGACCCGAAATTCAGAGATTGACCCGTTTTGATCCGAAAATCCAAGATTGACCCGATTTTTGACCCGAAAACTAGCAATTTTGGGTCAACCCCGAGTCATTCGTGTGGGTCGGGTTGACCCGGACTCAAATCGGGTCGGGTTTGGGTCTAGAAACCTGACCCGTTTTAAAAAATGGTTCGGGTTCGGGTTGACCCAAATAGTGTCGGGTCAATTCCGGGTTCGAACCGAACCCGACCCGTTGACCCGAATTGACACCCCTATTTCGCATAAATAAAGCTTTTGAAAATATTTGCCTATTGAGTCTTTCAGTATTGAAATGACAAACGCAGAGAGTTGCAAGTGACCAGGCAAGGGGTTTTTATAATTGGGGACAGCTAACTGAGGGGACTTGCAATTCTTAGCCTTCATTATGTTCTTTTTGCATCACATGTTTTACAATTGAATCTTTCTGGATATCTTACCATTTTGTTATTTCGTGATGGACTTTATTTGATGACCAGTTGAGCAATTATGATCTTTCACAATTTAACCACTTCTTTCTGATTTTAACAGGTGGAAACATCAAGCTCAGTGTTGGTTGTTGATAAGGCATTTGCAATGGAAAATTCTGAGACTATAGGCAGAAGAAAAAAGCTAGAGTTACCTGTACAGAAAAATGTTTTGACTAATTACTTCTGTATCCTCTTTATTACTTTTCAAGTAATCTCTCAGTTTTAGAGAAGGTTCTTGCCTATATTTAATATTAAAAATACAAATTAATTTAATATTAACAATTTAATCAGAGGTCTCATGTTCCCCCATCACACACACACACACAGATACAAGATTAATTCACTAATTATGGTTAAGTGTGTTAGAGTTTGTTTTTCAGGGTCACATGTCTCTCTTTTCAGTTATTTTTCTCTTGTTTTCTCTTCCTTATGTTGTGATCATACAATGTTCTTTTTAATGTCATATCTCGTCTAAGTATACATTTCAATGTATCTTTTTATGTGCTGCCATTTTGATTATCGTTAAAGTGCATTCAAGTACGTCAATCCTTCATCTTCATGTAACATTTTTATTACTCAATTTTCAGATTTCCTTAACACTACGAAGGCTTAGCTTCTATTCAAGCTAAGCGGAAATTCAGGGCCCCGAAATTTACGCCTAAGGTCTTAATGAAATCTTCTTCTCCGTGCTCTAGTAATCCTGATTCTGATTCAACCGGTTCAGATGAAATGCCTCTTTCTTCTACGACAGACCGATCACAAGACTTCCTGCTTAATTCAGGGCATTCAAATGATAAACTACCGGGAACACCTTCTGTTAGTAATTTAGATGCTAGTTACCCATCTTGTTTGACATGAATTTATTTGCATCAATTAGAATGCTTCCCAATTTTGTTTTGTTTTAGATGGAAGATAGACCGACCAATAGATGCAATAAGTTTTTGGGGTTTCCCTTGCATGGTAAGTTTTTTTCATACTATTATTCAGCTTAAGTTACTGATAGTAGAAAGAACTGCAGACTTTTGTTTTTCAATTCTGTTGCAGGAAGTTATGTTGGTAAAAGATGCCCCAGTCCATTGCAGGAATCATTTCAAAATGCTGTCAACCCAAAGTCACATGAACATGGAACCGAGCTAAAATGCACAAGTCTAGAAAATAAATCAGTGAAACGAATTGTCAGTACGAGCCCCTTTTTCAGTGATAACTCATTAAACGAAGTTGCTACCGTGGATCAAAATATACTTTCGTGCAAGAATAAAGAAGATGGCACTGTTGTTTTGAATGATCATCCAGTTTCTTTGGGTGAACCAAAGCGGATTAGCTTCCTGGAAACTTCAATCAAGAAAAGAAAGACTGCTCATCCTTTTGATGTAAATGTGATATTTTCTGCAATTTTCCTTTCTATATCATTTTATTTAGTTTTACTTTTATAGAACTAATGTATTGGAAATTATATATTTAGTTGGAAACTCTTCCACTGCAAAATGTAAAATCAACTCCTGCCATTGCTGGTCAAGGTATGGCATAATCTATTCTCCTTATCACTATTATTATTCTTATCATTGATACCTATAATAATACACTGGGTGCTTTTGGGCTGGATAGGATTGGCATGCAAATTACTCCCTTGTCTTTCAGTTGAATATTTTGCCAATGAAAATTAAGGGTTTTAGACTATTGAGTGTCACATGTTGCACAACTCATTTAAAGTGTGCGAGACATCAAATCACTAAATCAAAATGTTCTCTACGTGTCTCCTCATCATATAGTGCAAATAAGTTGAAAAAGATGATTTTAAACTTTACAGTCATATCATTCCCTTAGGATAACTCTCTGATGAGATGATTTTAATTATGTCCGATGCGTCTTTAACATATCAATAAGTGACAGACCTGATCCAAATAGTATTGTAAATCCAACTTTAATTGCTTTTAACTAAGCTATCTTATTCACTTTTTTCTATAGACACTTCTTGTACCTATAGAGATTATAAATCTTGCATCTTTTTAGGTTTACCCCTTAGAAAAATTGTCTTGGACTACGTGCGAGATCAAAGAACTCTCTCTGGAGCCTTAAATTATTTTGGGTTTAATTATTGTGATCTACTGGAGGGATTAATTCCTAATTGATCCAGTAGGATGTATGTGAGGAGAATTTCCAATTCAATGGCTGGATTGCCATGGATTGAAAGTTCTCTTTACAATGTCTTGGACCCATAAATATTTAAATATGGTTTGAAGGGTACCTTTATGCAATGGTGCATAGGAGCTAGAATCAATTGCAGCTGTTTTGTGGGGACCCGGGGAGTGGTTTTCTTTTAGGTGGAAACAGTTGGGAAGCATTGGATATATAGACGGTGTGGGCTCCGAAAATTCGGCCCCGGCCTCCGCCCGCTTTTCTTTTTTTTATTTGGCGAGGGAGTTTTAACTGAATAAGTTCCGAAGTAAATTTTGGAAGGCAGATGGGTTTGTAGATAAGACACTACCCAGAGATTTCGCCCTCATTTTGCGAGGACTTTATGATCTGAGTTCTGGTTTCCTATAGGCGCAAGCTCCTATAGTTAATTACCCCTCCCGATCACGAGAGAGAACTTTCGATTAAGGCTAGTCGTCAATCAGATACGTAGAGATACGTGTTATCTGGCATATAGTAGCAGCAATACATATGGATTTTGAAATATTTGGAAGTTTGGATGTTTGGGTTGAAATTTGATTTGTTCCCCACCACGCCAGAGAAAGGCGTGCATGGGTTTGCGGGCACCGGTTTAAAGCAAAGTAATTTTATATTTGACCCCATCTCACCGTAGGCGTAGCACCGGATTCCCTTCCCACCACGTTAGAGAAAATCGTGCATGAGTTGGTTTTCCGGTCCGACACTAACGCCAAAAATGGAGTTTTGTGATTACCCGCCTTGTCGCAAGCATCGCAACGAATTCCCTTCTCACCACGTTAGAGAAAAGCGTGCATGAATTGATCTTTCGCCGCGTTGCGAGCCCCGGGATAGGTTTTCTAAGTTTAGAGCTTTATACCTGCTCGGGGTTGATGATGACGATGGGGTGGCACAAAATGAAACAATTTTTTTTTTTTTTTTTTGAAATCTCTCTTTTTTTTCTTCTATTTCTTTCTTTTTGAACTCCTCCCTTTTCTCTTCTTTTTTTTTTTTAGATACATGCATATCTTTCTCTTTGTTTTACAAATATGGGCCAATATGGAAGTACACGGGCTGAAATAAACAACTATAATGGGCTAATGTTTGGAGAAAGGTAGCTCATGTATGCAGATTTTGAGTAGATTTGAGATAATGGGCAGATAAATGGGTTTATGTAGAAATAAGCTTGCTGTTTTGAATTTTCCCCAAAAAGTAATATGACACTCAACGGGCTGCAGCTTATAATGGGCTGAATTTAATAAATCAGGAAGAGCTAAATAGATTTGCTATCATGTGAAAGAATGAAGATAGCTGGGTTAATTTCATAGGCAAAGAAGATAGTGAGGTTAATCCTGAACCGATACACCAATCATGCATCTCAAGGATCGGTTGGGTTTCTGATGAAGCTCCAGTTGAAGTGGTTTTTGATGCTAACGAGGAGAAGCACATATTCAACGGATCTAACCCATCTGCAGTCGGTTGAGGAGTTCGACTTCACCTGGGGTCAGAACTGTTGGATCGTCGGACAAGGCTTGGGCGAGAGCAAGAAGAAATCAGTAGTGGGTTGGCGTGGATTGAAAGCTTCCAAATAGAAAAGCTGAAGGTATTGTGATTATTTGTTGCTGTGGTGGAGAGGCGAAGTGGCTGAACCGAACAGTTGCTTCAGCTAGTTAATTTGGGATTCTGTCGTGGAAGAGGAATGACATGAGGAAATCTGAGTTGGGGCTAGCTGGATGGAAGTAGACGTAAAGGAGGGAGCTCCCTCTCGGTTGATCCTGGCGTGAAACAGAGAAGGAAAAGTCAACAGTTGAACTGAGACAAGTTGCTAAAATCAGCGGCTAAGAAGGATCAAGTGTGGTTGGCGAATAGGTGAAGTAGAGAGAACGAATGGCCGTTCGGGAAGGCATGAAGACTGGAGGCCATGGGAAACTGCCGCAAGTTGTGGAGTTGTATGCATCCATCATAGGCGTGGAATCGGGGTGCTGGAGTTCTTTCAAGGCTTTGGCTTTGACGTAAACGGGAAGGCTTCTATTGCAAAAGGCTTGAGAGATTCCCCGAGAATGAATGGTTCTGTCGTCTCTCTTTTAACGAATGAAGCCTCATTTTTTTTTTTCGCCCAGCTTCTGAGTGGATTTGATCCCGAATCAAAGGGCAGCGGGATTTGAGGGATTCAAAGCAGGGATTCTGAACAGGATTCAGAACGGCTAATACGAGATTTGCCTGAAATGGGCTCCTGATTTATTTTGGACTTTTGATTTCTTCTTTTCCAATTACCTTACTAGGGTAATGGACATTAATTAACTCTTAAATGACAGAAAATTGTCAGATGACCAAAATAATGTATCGATTTGTGTGATTTTCTTGAAATTTGTGTATATTTCATCTCGTAGTGCGTGTCGATCTTGCCGAATAATCATAATTGGACAAATTAATAGTGGATTTAGGGTATTGCTGACGTTCAGGACGCAATGGAGCTATTCGTTTCGCGATCAAAATTCGATTGGGCAACCCCAAGGCCTCTTTCCCCGGTATGCGCGTTTTGCCTCGAAATTCGTGCCATCGTTATGGATACTTCAAATTGAATAAACAAAATACAGTTTTCAGAGGTTGACAATGCTCCGGACGCAATGACGCTGTCCGTTTGTCGATCCGGCATCGTTTGGTCTCCGACGATGCAATTTTCTCGATATGCGCGCCATCGCATCATATTTAGATTGCCTTTGAAATTTGTGACACCATATCAAACGATCCAATTTAATCAAATAAAATGTAGATTCTTAATGGAGATGATGTTCCGAACGCAATGGCGTTGTCCGTTTGTCGATCGGACGTCGTCCGAGCATTTTCGAGGCCTCGTTTCCGTCGTAACGCATTCTTTTATATCATATTTGCATCGCCTAAAAATTCACCACCATCTCGGATGATCCAAATTTATTAAATAAAATGTATATCCTAAATGTCGACGTCATTCCGGACATGGCGCTGTCCATTTGTCGATCTGAAATTGTTTGGGCGACATCGAGGGCCAAATTTCTCGATATGCGTGTTATTACCTTGGGATCCATGTCACCATTACGATTGATCACAATTATTCACAAAAGATGTATATTTTGAATGTCGAGGACGTTTCGAACGCAATGGCATAGTCCATTTCATGATCGGACATCATTTAAGCGACGTCGAGGCCTGATTTCCTCGAAATACGCGTTGTCTCGAAATTTATGTCACTCATTAGGATGATCCAAATTGAATAAATAAAATACAGTTTTTGAGTATTTGCAATGTTCAAAACACAATGACGAAGTCCGTTTGTTGATCCGACATCATTTGATCAGCCTCGCGCTTTAATTTCGAGCGTCGGTCGTCTCTTTTGGCCAATCTCATCTGATTCAATTGCGAGGGGCCTCGACCCAGTAGAATTCAGTGTCCTGATCGCAATGATACCATCTGTTTGGCATTTGGAGGTCATTAGACACCTTAAGTGACGTGTTTCATCAATGCACATATTGTTTTATTTATCAGTTTGAGTCATTTCTCGCGTGGTCTGATGTATAGGGGTCAACGGTTTTCAATCAAAGAGGCCTCGCCCAAGCTCTCTCGAACTTGGGTTTGAAGTAGGCGTGTCAAAATGAGTTTTCAGGTCGGGTTCAAGTCCAACTTGAAACTAAATTGCCTTCAATTGACCTGACCCGAACCTCAATTAGCTAAACTGGTCACAATTCTAAAATCAAACATGACCCACTTTTAACCCAATTTGATTCAACATGCTGACGCGGTTGGATAGCGGGGGTGACCGAGCATGGGAGGTTGAGGGCCAATGACCGAACGAGCGCTTTCGGGCGAGCGGGGGAGCATGACAGAGGATGAGCGCCGATTTCTTTAGGGTTTTGAAGCTGGCCTGAACCCGACCCAAATTTACAATCGGGTCAAAATTTGAAATCCATATCTGACATGTTTTCTGAAGGGTTGACCCACCCATAATTTTTGGGTTGGGTTTGGGTCGGATTTTCAGGTCTTGTTAAATATTGACACCCTTAGTTTGAAGGGTTCTAGAAGGCTGGGGAAGGTGAGGGATTGAACGCTCTATCACTGTGGAAGCTCAAGGATTCAAATGTTGGATTAGAACTCCTATGAAACAAGAGTATTTATAAAACCTTGGAATTGGAATGTAGATAAAATTCCGACCATTGTTGACCATACAAGACTGTTAGGCTAGTTCATGGAGGTCGAATAGGCTGCTACCAGGCTGTTTGAGTGAATGAAAGAGCTGAGGTGAGCTGGGTGGTTGAAATTAGCCAATTCATATTTCAGTGGCTTGGATTTTGTCTGTTTTTTGGCCACCCAACTCTCCCCTTGTGCTGGGTTCGGTTTAGGAGTGATGATGGCAGGGTTTATACTTATTGAGCTGGTTTGGATTGGGCTAAGGTAGTTTTAATTGGGATTTAAACCATTTGGGATAGATTGGGTTGGCTAAGAGAGCTAGTGTAGGATACTAGGCTCCTAATGACAGGGTTTAGGTCTAATGATTTGAATGCATGAAGGTTAATTCCATGGTAGAACACATATAGGTCTTATGGGTCAATCATGGTTGATTTTGTCTAATAAGTTACTTTTTAATAGGAGTTATTGATGCGTATAATACATTTATAACACGATATTCTATAATGATGTTAAAAATGAGAACAAATTTTGTAGACTTAGCTCGTTTGTTTGCAATTCAAATAACAATATTATAAATAACAATATATATTCAGGCTCACTTTACTGTAAAGGTATCATAAGCATTTTGATTGATAAGTGATAACACATCCCATTGCATTGAACTGATAATACTGACGTGCGAATAATATCGAACAAAATTGGGACAAAATTGTCCCAATCTTCCTTAGTAAAACTCCTTTTATTTACTTACCAATCACAACAATGAAAATGTTGATGTACTAACTACTGTTCAGTAGATCATATTTATAATATTCCATTTCTTGTATCATAGAGAACTTGGCTAATATTATATTTCACTTCAGGCAACAAAGATGAGAACAGCAAGAGCTTCGGGCGTGACATTTCCCATGTGAACGACTACTGTGGCATAGCAGAGAAATCTATGGAGAAGTTTGTTTCGCTCATGAATTCTTTTAGGTACAGTTCATCAGGTTCACGTGCCAGTGGTCTTCGTGCTCCTCTGAAGGATGTGAGAAATACATGCTCCATGAGGTATGTGAAAGCTTAAACTTTAAATGTAATTCATTTTTCCTATAAACTATTTACAATTATCTTTCCTTTCATTTTCGTAAGGACGAACAAAGCTGCTGTTGATTTCAGTGAATTTTCCTATAAGCCAAGAAAAAATACTGCTCGAGTTGTCTCATCGCCATCCAAATTTGATTGATATCTTAAATCAAAATTGATATATTTTTTTTTCTACTTTGATCTCATCACGTGGAATTGTAAGCTTTTGTTGTAACCAATCTGTTGTATTGTACAATAATATTTGCATTGCCTCATGCTGGCTGCCTTCGTTGTTTTATTCAAATTGGCTGCTTGTGTAGCAGAACAAGTATTTGCTTTGTTTTTTGCTCTGATTTTCTTTTTCATGGGGCAATAATACAATTTTTTCTATATCAATTTTGTTCTACTAATTCTTCTTAATCTTTTGGCATTCTATTCCTTTCTTTTGGAGAATGTTATTTTTATTGTATTTGATCATCAGCAATAACAACAACATCAAGCTTTTATCTCAGTACATTGGTTCGACTACGTGAATCCTTTTTCTTTAGGGATTCACATCATGATTGCTCGATTGTTATGTAAGCATTTTGATGTGTAGAGTTGAATGAAGTTCATGTGGTTGAGTTTGGTCCGGTATTATGTAATCGGTATGATTATTATACTAGAAGAAGAAAATGTTATAAGTTTAAAGATTTAAATAGAATTTATGCAACTTTTAAATCCATGCTCTCAAATCATGAATGGTTGGAGGTTTGAACCCTCTCTCCCATATGCTCCAACTGATCGAATATCGGGATATCCTCTGTGCAGCAGGAGTTCTATTCTCTGATGTTTGTATCATTAATGATATATGAGAACCATTGCACTCCCAGAAAATATGGGATTCATTGAAGAAGATGAATCCCGATCGTAACAGGAGCTAATATCCATTATGTCATTATTGTTCTATATCATTATTCTTCTACTCGTTCTTCTTAATCTTTTGGCATTTTATTCATTTCTTTTAGTTAATTTGTTATTTTTATTGTATATGATCATCAACAATAACAATAACATCAAGATTTTATCTTAGTACATTTGCTTGATTATGGTAATCCCTTTTCTTTAGGGATTCACATCATGATTGTTTGATCGTTATGTGAATGTTTTGATGTGTAGAGTTGAATGAAGTTCATGTGGTTGAGTTTGGTCCAGTATTATGTAACCGTTATGATTATTATATTAGAAGAAGAAAATGTTAAAAGTTTAAGGTTTAAATAGAATTTATACAACTTTTATATTTACATTAATAATATTTCTTTTTTTAATCATTACAAAATTGAATCGGATGGGCGAACTAGGACATGAAGTTTGTACAAAAGATCTGGAATGTGCATCGGAAGATGACAAAAGAAAATTGGAATAAAATGTAAAAAGAATGAAGATAAATAATCTTTTACCAAAGAGGGGTTGTTTCAAGTCACCTAGCAAAGGAGTAATGGAATACCCGCTAAGCTTTCCAAGTAGGAAGAATACTTCTCTAATCTAATTTCTATTTCACTTCAATATTCATTTCCTTGTGTATTTGCTCTAATTTATGATAAAGTGAGGTGCAATTGTGATACGGACTAGTGGACTATAGCTTTAATTAAAATACCAGCTTACTTAACACTTAAGTTTTTTTTTTTTTTTTAATGTTATGACATCATAACTAAAGCAATTCATTTTGGTTCGTTGGTTGGGAGTTTTGACTATCAACTAAAAAGTTTTAGGTTTGAATATTGCGTATGTGATGTGTATAAATTTATCTTCTTCTTAAAAAAAAAAATCATAACTAAACTTATTTCAAACCATCGTCAAATCTCTGTTGAATGTTTTCTCTATTATTACCACCATATTTCAAATATTTGTCATGTAATTAAGATCAGGAGTGTTCATTTGAAATTTGGTCGATTCTTCAATATATTGCATTCTCACTATTCTTGAGTTGAGAGATGAGTTAACCTTTATAACATGTTTAAACACTAATGAGATCATTTCAATTAAGCAAGGCTCCATGATTTTTCCTTTTTTAGGGGTTTTCACATAAAAAGTTTGGTGTTTCTATATCATTTCAATTATATATTTGTGTGCTAAATTTCGTGCACCTCGAAGATGTAAAGCCCTTTCGTCCTACAATAATTTGACGCAGTCTGTGGTAACATTCTCAAAATATTTCTTCAATGAGCAATAATCAATCCCTCAATCATGAACAATAAAATATGGGTTATCAAGTCCCCTAGGCCTCACTTTAGAATACCATATGCGTAGGATGGAAGACTTCAAAGTCAAATCCTTCAATTATTGGAGGAGGCTAGACAATAGAGGATACCATCACAATTTGATAGAGTTCTCCATCCACAATTCCAACAACATTTTAGAGACAACATCAATCAAGAAGCATTGACATGCTCACAAGCTTATCAAAATTTCTTTGATGTAATTAGTTTAACACATTCTCTCCACATTGCTCTGCCAACCCATAATCCTTCACTTATTGTAGAGGATTTAAATCAACATCATATTATTAATGCCCCTTAGGATGATATAAGAGATATACTACGAAGAATTATTCAAGTAGAATTTCCTTTGAGGGAATGGAACCAATTTACTCATCCGCACAACTTCTAAGAGTCCTCACACTTAAAAAATGAAATTCTTTAACATCCCATTCCATTGGGATTTAAGCTACATACTATTGATTCATATGATGGATCTTCTGATCCCTATGAATATATTGATCATTTTAAAACCATCATGCATATTTTGCAAGTGTTTGATGCACTTTATTACAAGGTTTTCCCTAGTAATCTCAAGGGTACACATGGTTTTACTCATTCTTAAGAAATTATATCCACAACATCACCCACCTTGCCGAACTTTTTGTTGAATAATTTATCACAAATCGAAGAAATATCAAAGACATCTATCATATTTTTAAGATTCATCAAAATGAGGGAGAAACATTTTTCTTTTGAAGCACATCAAATTTTAGGAGTAGATCTTTAATTATTAAGAGGTGTTTTCAACCTGGACTTCTCATCATTGATGCAAGAGACTGTTCACTCATATGTTGATCTGATTTATCGAGTGGAAGCTCAAATAACTATAGATATGACTATCAATGCTCATCAAAAGCAATTTAAGCAATCCTCCTTCAAACAAAAAAATTACATGAATTTAATCAAACTATACAATGGAGAAGGCATGATAAGTCAAAAAATAATTACCATTAAATTCATCCAAGATTACTTAACTACACTCTTTTAAATACATGAAGGTCTAACATTCTGACGGAGATTCAAAATTTTGAACATCTCAAGTGGCAAAATTGCTAAGAAATCTAGTATGTATTGACCAGACTTAATACTATAAATTTTTCATTAGACAAAGGGACATTCAGCTGAAAATGCTTTCAATTGAAGGATGAGATTGAATGTCTGATTGACCAAGGACATTTGAGTCATTATTTATAAAAGTAACTTAAAGATTACCAGCCTCAGAATAGAGAAGATCAGAAGAATCATGACAACAAAATTATTAGTATTATTCACTAAGAGTCCCTCATGTTTGAAATTACTCAAAAAATCCAAACACTTTAGAATTTTTTAATCATATATCTTTCAAGCAAGTTTTATTATTAAATATTAATAAACTTTATATAAATAATATTGCATATAACAACAACCCAGGAAGGCCTGCCCATGAGGTAGCATCAAAGGGAAGTTAATAATGGACAAGGTCCTCGCTAGAAAGAAACCATGAGGGCAAGTGACAAACAAGGTCTCCACCCAAGGATGGTTAATTCATATGGCAGCCTCAAAGGGAAGTTGGTAGTAGACAAGATCCTCACTAGAAAGATTTTATGATAGCAAGTGGTTGATAGGTTCACCACTCATTCAAAAACCTTAGAAGGTAAAAGTCTTAAAAGATTCAAGATTGTCCCAAGATTGTCCAAAAATCTCTAGAGTCATACACCTCAAAAGGCACATGCACACCAAAAATCATAAAAGGCTAAAAAACCTCAAAAGGTATAGGTGCACCAAAACTTTAACAGGCTAAAAGCCTCAAAATGTACATATACGTAAAAATCTAGGAATGGTAAAATACTTAGAAGGTATATTTTCTTTGATTCTTTAAAAACTTTAGAAGGCTAAAAGCTGTATAAGGAATAAAATTTTACAATCTAGTTGCTATAACTAGGGGGCAATATATTAAAGCATATCTCAAAAAACGCATAAAAAACTTTTTTATTTTGAAGTCAAGTTCATAAATTGATATTATTATTACATAAAAATGGAGTATTCATTACTTCAAATAAACATCAATCTCTTAAAAAACTATAAATAATATTATTAGATTTACATGATATTAACATAGTAAAATTCTATATCATATTCAAGCATAAAATCTTCTTCATCTAAAATATTGATATAAGGAGCTGAACAAAATTGCAATGTTTTCATCAATTTCATCTCGTAAATTGTAGTGAATCCCATTTGAAGAGCACATGTCTGGTTAGACCTTTTTGGGCCAAAGATCATCATGTCATTCAATGCATAAAACTTCTTGCAATTCATCGCCAAATCATCAAAGTGAATGGTAGAAGCAATGTCATCAATCGAAACAGAAGGGGAAACTCTTGGTGCATTTGCTAATCCACCAATAGAAGAAATATTTCAACTCATTCAAGGAAATATTAGAGCCCCATCAGGCCTCCACCAGACGCTTGTCACAAACGTCGCTACTGCATCATAGAAAAAAAAATAATACGAGACTCAAATCCAAGACCTCTTAGTTGGGAGCCAAACTTCCAACCAACAAATCAAAGAGAGCTGCATAGTAAATATTTTTTTTTAAAATATACAATAAACTAACTTCATAATAACTTTAATAAAATTTTTACTTTTTCTACAACAATTTATGAGTAATTTTTAAAATTGTCAACAGTCATAAATGAAAAAATTATTCGAGGATGTCTTGATACAAATCTTATCAAGATAGACTTAAAAATTAATAGAGTTATTTTGAAATTAATGTTGCAGATTGAACATATTATTTTAGACTAATCTCAAAATAAGTTTAAAAATTTTGAAACTCATTCTAATATAATTTAAATCGGTACACAATGACATAATTTTATGCATCCCAAACATAACATTAATCATAAGAGTGGGCAGATGCTCCAATGAAGGTTCCGTAAATTTGAATCCGAATAACGGGCAAAATTTGAATTCGAGGTCTTCCACCGTCGATCAAAATGAGCCCTCGTTACAGCCCTCCGATCCGCACTGATGGAGACAGAGGAATTTGAATCCGTTATTTTCATCGCTTTAAATCTCTATTCGCTCCGTTCTTTCTCTCTTTTGTAAAACCCTAGACTCTTCCTCTCCTTCCCCGGTGTACAAAGTTCACTTCAGATCGTCAGTTGGTCGACATGTCGGCGATCACTGAAGCTGGCACAGTCGCCCGGCGGACGTTGAAATCCCAAGAATACTTCAACGAGTCGTTAGAGGTAGATTCGAGTGGTGTTCGCGAGGGAAGTAAAGCTGAGGTTGGTTGTGCCCAGGGTTTCGAGCTGCGAGTGGATCCAGACTTTTGGAAAGATCACAACGTCCAGGTATTAGAGGATTTCAGTTCAGATGTTGTACTGAGAGGAAATTTTTTCTATTTCCCTCTAAATAGGGTTCCTAATCCATTTATCAAAATTTTTTTTTTTTTAATTTTGATCAGTGAGAGTGTTCTGTTTAGATTAAGTTCTTGGGTAGCTGGATTAAGCTCTCTGGATTCTGAAGTTTTCCTCACTTATTTTTTTCAAACCGAGCCTTAGAAAAGTATTGTTCACTTCATACAGTCCGAATATTCTCATCGTAATATTAGAAGAAATGATTAGATTTTCAATTTTGTTACTTTTGAGCAGGCGATGGATATTTTTGTTCATATTGCTTCTCTTTCATTTAAATTAAGAGGAGGTGCTATTTGCCGGAAATGCATTGCGGGGCATATGTTTGATGATTCATTTCCGTATGATTTTGTTTCATATTATGCTCACTTTTGCTCAATTAACGTAGGTTATTATTCGTCTTCGACCTCTCAATAGTTCAGAGATATCCCTTCAAGGACAAAATAGATGTGTTTTACAAGATAGTTGTCAAACTCTTTCATGGATTGGACATCCAGAGTCTCGTTTTACTTTTGATCTTATTGCTGATGAATATGTCAGCCAGGTAACTAGTTATTATGTATTTGTGTTTGTAGCTTATTAGCATGGTTAATTCATTTTGATGTAACTCCAGGAAAGATTGTTTAAAGTGGCTGGAGTGCCTATGGTCGAAAACTGTATGGCAGGCTACAATAGCTGCATGTTTGCATATGGTCAAGTAAGTTATATGGAAATTTGAATGTTTAATTCATTTCAGTCACTTTGTCGAAAAGGTTCCCGGTTGAATTGTTGGTTTTTTTAAATTGTATGCTCATATTCCTACTTCTTAGGGTTTAACAAATTTGGTTTGCATTTTTCAAGTAGTACTGGTTTATAACATGAACTCTAGATTTTATTCCTGCTCTAAATTTCAATTATATAATGCTTTTCCAGACCGGAAGTGGAAAAACTCACACTATGTTGGGAGATATAGAAGGAGGAATTCAAAGAAATAGTGCTAACTGTGGAATGACGCCTCGGGTCTTCGAATATCTATTTTCAAGGATAGAGAAGGCAAGTAGATTAAATTTGTCTTGTTGTGACTTCCTTTGTTCACTGTGTTGTTTCTGTTTAATTTACAGCCAACTTTTACAGGAAAAGGAAACCCAAAGTAATCAAAAGCTCCATTTTACATGTAAATGCTCATTTCTTGAAATATACAATGAACAAATTTTAGATTTGTTGGATCCTTCCTCCATAAATTTACAGGTATAACTTCTAATTTCATGAGGTCTTTATTTTCAGCTCTTTCTGTTTGCCTATCCAATAAAGTTGTTGGCTTCGATAATTATAAATTTTTGGTACAAATAAATTGTTTAGATGCATGTGTTCTCCATGTTTTACAAACTCTAAAAATAATTTTGTTTATTCTTTTTTCTTAAATATTGTATTGCTGGGCAACCTTAAATGGTAAGTGTGGATGTAATATTTCAACATACAGGATAAAAACATGCCAATGAAATCAATATCGAGCCTAATATTTAGTACTATTATCTACTGCATGAAATTCTCTCCCAATTGTTCAGTTTCTATTCCCGAGTCCTCAACATTTGTACTTAGTTTCATATCTTATTGCCACTTGGCATAAAAATTAAGAAAAAGTAGCACAAATTTGCATAAGTTGTCTCAATTTCCTTTTGCATTTGCTTATTCTTTTTTCATGAAGGAACCAAAGCTTCTTGCATGATTATAAACTTGAAACCAAGACTATGACTGTTTAGATTTCATTCAGATAAGGGAAGATGCAAGAAGAGGTGTTTATGTAGAAAATCTCAAGGAATATGAAGTTTCAAGTCCTAGAGATGTTATTCAACAGCTTATTCAGGTATCACAAACTCATTGAAGTTTGCTTACGAGCATAGTTAGGTTTCAACTGATTGTCAGATTATCTACTGTCCCTTAAATTTGCTCAAGTTTGGCGATCTCATGATTTTTGTTATGAAACCTTTGATGATTGATAACCAAATCAATGCAGGGGGCAGCTAACAGGAAGGTGGCTGCTACAAATATGAATCATGCTAGTAGCCGTTCTCATAGTGTTTTTACTTGTATCATTGAAAGAAAGGTTTGAACATTTTGCACAAACAATTTAGTATTTTTTATATTTTGTTCAACTAATTTAAAGCATATGGTATACTTTTATGTACATAGAGCATTAAGTATGGATATGTAACTAGGGCATCGAGTAGTAAGCACATGTTTTTATTAGAAATTTTACTGATGCAGTGGGAATCTCAAGGAGTTTCGCGTCACAGATTTGCTAGGCTAAATCTGGTAGATCTTGCAGGATCTGAGAGGTTTGTTTTTTGAGAGAACTTAAGTAAACATGCCAATATTTTATGCTTAATCTCTCTTTATTGGACTTCTTTTATTTCATGACATTCTTTTCGATTCAATATCTTAAATTACTTATATTAAAAGAAAAAGATCAAAATGGTCCTATTACTCTTTGTGAGGGACCAAAATAGTCCCCAACTCTTTTGAGGAATTAATTTGGTCCCTCAACTCTTTAAAATGATACCTTTTTTGTCCTAACATCTAATGTTAGAATTAATGGTGTTAAATATAAGGTATTTTGGTCATTTTTTAATTAAGCATTTATTAAATATAATTTTCAAATAATTATAATTTTTCTAAAAAATTTTATTAAAAGTTTCTTTAATAAAAAAAAATTCATAACAATTTTAGATTTATAATTATATTTAATAAAATTTAAAATTATTATTAATTTTTTTATTAAAGAAACATTTTATAAAATTTTTTAGAAATATCCTTACATTTAACACCATTAACTCTAACATTGAATATTAGGATTAAAAAGATTTCATTTTAAAGAGTTGAGGGACCAAATTGGTCCCTCAAAAGAGTTGAGGACTATTTTAATTCCTCACAAAAAATTGAGAGGCCATTTTGATTCTTTTATCCTTAAATTAAACTTTTATTTCATTTAATTTTCATATAAGAATGGGGAGTAGATTTGGATAAGCATTATCTTTGTGATAACTGATATTTCCTAATTATGTATTGCTTTAATAACAGACAAAAAAGTTCAGGTGCTGAGGGCGATCGGCTTAAAGAAGCTACAAACATCAACAAGTCACTTTCAACATTAGGGTTTGTACAACATTTTCTCTTTCAATATAATATAACTACGATCTTAATGACAATTTTCTATACTTTTTCTTTTTTGCTTCACTTTGACCATAATAAAAATTCATTTTGTTTATTATGAATCAGGCTTGTGATTATGAACCTCGTTAGTAGCTCAGGTAAGAGACAACCACATATTCCATACCGAGACTCGAAGCTTACATTTCTTCTACAGGTAAAAATAAAGCATATTTATCCTAGTGAGCTTTGTAATAATTTCCTACTCTAAAGTAATCATGAATAACATAAGCATGATGATGCACTTAATGTTGGAGAGGGTTGTCATATCTATCAGAGCATGGTGATTTTTGTTAATGCATAAGAAAGGCATATCTAGTTTCACCTAAATAGGTACTGTGAAACCTTATAAAAATAAAGCTAAACTTTTAAACATTGAGGTGTCATTTGGTGGAACGGTTGGAATTTTAATAAGAACTCCAAAGTTAAGAGTGCTCGTACAAAAGCAATCCTAGGATGGGTGACCTCCTAGGAAGTTACATAAAGGGAACAAAATTGTGAGGCTATTAGGACAAAGCGAATAGTATCTCGATGGTTAAGAGTGGGATGGGTGATTCTCAGTTAATGGTATCGAAGCAATACACTAGTCGGAAGATGGGAATTACTCTGCCTTTAGAGTCTTATATGCATGGTGGATGATTCTAAGTTAAGAAAATTGACGAAGATGTCAGTTAAATAAGTGTGGGAGTTTGTGAAACCCTTATGAACATAAAGTTAAACTTATAAATATGGAGGCGCCTTTTAATGTAACAGTTGAAATTTCAGTAGAAATTTCAAAGTTAAGCATGCTTGTACAAGAACAGTCTTATGCTTGGTGATCTCTTGGGAAGTTATACCAAGGGGCCAAAACCATGAGGCCATTAGGCCAAAACAGGCAATATCTCAATGGTTGAGAGTTTGAGCTGTTATAGGTATCTTAATATTTAGAGTTATTTGGAGTAGACAAAATGATTCATGTTGCTGACCCCACGTAGTGAGATAAAGGCTTGATGTTGTTGTTGTTAGAGTGGAAATATGCCTTATGATCTTTTTGTTTGTTGTTGACAGTGATAAAAACTCTAAACTGACAACATTTAAGAGATTTCAGCCAGTTTGGGCATGCTTGCAGATGTGATGATGCACAATGATGATAGAATTGAAATGGGCTTTTTTTATAGCCATTTATAAATGATTGTAGAGAAGACCAAGTTTTATTTCACCTAGAGGTGGCATTCATATTTATTGTTTTGTTGAATGAATGCTGGATACCTTTTTTTTGCCTGTAGATTTATTTTTTTATTATTCATTACAATTACTCGTTTTCTTATGTGCTATAATAAACAATGTTAGAATTGCATAAAGATTTGCAAGCATATGTAAGCTATATTTTAGTGCTTTTCTACAGTTGATTCTTTAGCTACTTTGATGTCGTCGTTATTTACTTTAATTTTCTTTCCGTAAGCCTGTAATATTGTAACTCCATGTTTTGTTCACTTTAATGAAAAAGGGGCTTCCCAAAAAATTCAGTAAAAAAAAGCTTCATTATTAAAACAACAGATTTGATTTTTCTGGTATTTTCCAAACTTTCAAATGGACCTGTACTTGAAGTTACTAAATGGAAAATTACTAGAATGTTCGATCAATCACATTTTAATGGCATACGGAATTTTAATGGCTTTTTTGGTATTTTCCAAACTTTTAAAATTTATTTTAAAGACTAAAAATATGCCATATGAGTGGAGAATGAGTGTGTTGATTCATATTTTTAAGAATAACGGTGATGCATAAAATTGTGCGAATTATAGAGGACTTAAGTTAATTTATCATACTTTAAAACTTTGTGAGAGAGTTATGGAGCAATGGTTATGATGTGATACTAATGTTTCTCAAAATCAATTTGAATTCATGTTGGATAAGTCTACTATGCAAGCTTTTCATTTATTGAGAGGTTTGATGGAGAAGCACCGAGAGAATAAGGAGGATATTCATATGATATTTATTGATTTGAGAAAACATATGATAAAGTTCCAAGAGAAGTGCTATGGAATGTTCTAGAAAAGAAATGAGTTAATAATGCTTATATTCAAGTCATTAGGGATATGTATGCAGATGTTGTTACTTGTGTTCAAACACAAGGTGGTTTGACCAAGTATTTTCCTATTTATGTTGGATTACATCAAGAATCAGCCTTAAACATCTTTTTGCTTTAGTTATGGATGTTCTCACTAAGCATTTGCAAGAGGTTGTACCCTAGTGTATGCTTTTTGGCTTTTTACAGATGATATCTTCTTGCTGATAAGACTAGAGATGGAGTTGAAGATAAACTTGAATTATGGAGATCAACCTTAGAGTATAAAGGTTTTAGTTTGAGTAGATCTAAAATTGAATATATAGATTGTAATTTTAGCAGTAATAGATATAGTGGAGGGTTTGTAAATTTGGGCGATCAAGTCATTAATAAGAGTACACGTTTTAGATATCTTGGCCTATTGTTCAGAGTGATGGTGAAATAGTATGGATATTATTTAGTAGAATTCAAGTTGGATGGTTGAAGTGGAGGAATTCATCAGGCTTGTTGTGGGATAGAAAAGTCTCCCTCAAACTGAAGGAAAAATTATATAAGATGGTGGTGAGAACTGCAATGCTTTATGGTGTAAAATGTTGGGCATTAAAAGAGAAGCATAATATTAAGTGTTGCAGAGATGTGGATGCTTACGTGGATGAGTGTCTTTACTCTTAGAGACATAATATAAAATGAGCATATACATGAAAAGGTTGGATTAGCTCTAGTGGAAGATAAGATTAGAGAGAGTTGTCTTAGATGATTTTGTCACATAAAACGGCGGCTTTCCAATGACCTGGTTAGGAAAGTAGATGTATTAGATTTGGCTTATGTTAAGAAAGGTAGATGTAGACAAAAAAAAACTTGGTTAGAAAATATTAGAAATGACTTTTTTTTAGATTTAAATGAGAATTTGACTCTTAACAGGACACAATGGATAAAAGGATTCATTTAGCCGGTCCCACGTAGTGGAATAAAGACTTGGTGTTGTTGTTTTTGGGATTGAATTTTCCGATTAAGTAAATATGCCACTGTGTGCTAGAGATTTATTTGATGGCATCTTGTGGTAGTAAGAACCATGAATGGAGTATATTATTTCAGTTAAGTTATATGCCTATAAATTTTGAATTTGAAGAAATTCGAATTGACAATTGATTCTAAGTCACGGAAAAAACCCCACCCGACCTCTCTGCCACTCATGTGCTAATCATTTTCTTTTTTTAGGACCATTTTCACATTTTACAAGGCTAGCAATACCAAAACAGAAGCTATGGTTAAATGAACTTTATTATAAATTGCTTTTTATTTCAATATAGGATTCTCTTGGTGGAAACTCTAAGACTATGATAATTGCAAACATTAGCCCTTCCAATTGGTGAGAGATGCTTATCTACTCAATTTCCTTTATCGATTGAGCACGCGGTAAGATTCATGGCTAACTACGCTAATATAACTTTTGCAGTTGTGCTCTGGAAACACTTAGCACATTGAAATTTGCTCAACGTGCCAAGTTTATAAGGAATAACGTGAGTACTTTGAGATTCTATTGCCATCCTTTTACTTATATGTGTAGAAACTTAATTAAAAATTTGCTTACATTTATAGGCAGTTGTAAATGAGGAAGCTTCAGGAGATGTACTTACTTTACGATTACAAATTCAGCGGCTTAAGGTAATGTGATAACTTTGCTACCTATGGGTTACATGTTTTTCATCATCTGAGAATGAAGATTTCAAAGTAGCTTGCATTTAGAAGCATTTTTTTAAATGATTCTTTAGTCGTTACTAACCGCATTTCAATTATATCCTCTTATTGATAATGATTTCTGTCATCCTTCACAGAAAGAAGTGAATCACTTGAGGGGATTGATTAGTGGAGGACCTGATAAATTAGGAAGTGATGGTACTACTGCATCTTCTCAAGATTCTCCCGGACTTTTAAAATTGAATGGAGATCAAGCATCATTCAGCCCACTAACATTTGATAAAAGATTATCACCAGTATGCGTCTTTGTTAAGCTTATTAAGTGATGACTGTGTTGAATTCATTATTTAGATCGATAACTTTATAATTATCTAACAAAAATAACAGAGAAAAGAGCATGAAGCTGCCCTAGTTGCAACTCTTAGGAGAATACATGACAAAGAAGAAGAACTGAAAGCACTGGCGGCTGAGAGAGAGGCTGCAGATCGGTTGGTAAGAATTAAGTTACTAGTTTCAAGTCATGTATGTTGGTTACAAAATATTCTGTTATATTCACTTTTATTTTCACATTCGACGATTTGTTACAAATTTCATGCTCTTCCCAATTTAATTTGCTTGAAGTATTCCTGGACTGGACTTTCTTGATTTATAGAAATCTCCTTTTAATCCTTAGTTGGCTTAACCTAAAGGTATGCCACTTGTTCAAACTTTTAATGATCTTATTGAAGGCATGCTTTGTATTAGTAATTTGGGGATGAGGCAAAGGTTGTGTGTCAGTAGATATAGGATTGGTTTGGGACGGCTTTCTTATTGCTTCTCAAAGCAACTTTTTAGTACAAAAATTTTTCTTTTTGTACTAAAAAGCTGAAGCAGCAAAAAAGTTGCCCCAAACGAAACCATAATAGCTACTACTTAGCAAAGCAAATAATGTCACGTGAGCTGCATATTGTTTCACTTTATTGTTATAAAAGGCAATTAGCAGTATTTAATTGCTCTATGAACTTCTGCTGGTTTTCCACGGCTTCAAACATTCATTCAAGAAATCAAAATTTGAACTGTGAGATTTAGAAGTAAAGCATATCATGTATGTTAAGAAGCTTATTCAAGTGAGGCCTATAAATTTTGATCTTAAATTAAGAACAAACTCCCTCTCTTGTCTGAGTTATCCAACCTTTGGAATAAACTGATACATTCGTCCAACGACGGGTTCCACTCTTTCACGCAATCGGTTTCCTTGCATGACAATTGTGAAGATTTGCATCCATTAGTGGCAACCTTCAGATTTGCAAAATTTCATGAAAAGCATGAAGAGCTCCATTTTTTCATAGCAACCTTCAAAAGTTATGTCAAGACATGATTTTGTCTCTTTTCTTACATCAACTTTATCCTTCAGATGCAAAGAAATAAATGGGTGAAATAGCGTAAGAGTAACTTATATTCATATAATCATATTAAAGAACCCTAGATGGTATCCGATTGATAAGCCATCTCAAGTTTTCTTGAAAAATTTTACTTTCATTTAGTATGTTACTGTTTCTCAAATAACCGTCTGGTTTATTTGTTTAGATTTATGGATTAATATATCGTCATGGTTATTTCATGCTCAATTTATTGATATCATATAAAGAGGTCAGAAACTTTTTGTATTACATGCCAGATTATTCACAGAACAGAAGAGGTCAGAAACTTAAAATTAAGACTTCGGTTCCGAGAAGATGCAATAAGAAGGTTGGAGGCGCTTGCTTCTGCAAAACTGTCGCCTGATACACACATTTCGCAAGAAAAGGAAGCACTTCTGAAAGAATTAGAAGTCCTCCGCAATCAGGTTGATCGTAATTCAGAAGTGACTAGATTTGCAATGGAGAATATGCAGCTACGTGAAGAATTGAGAAGGTATTCTTGTTCTATTATATATTTCAAGTCTGCGTATCTATATATTTTCTCTTCTTTTCTTGGGGAGGTTAGGGGAGTGTTGGAACTTTAGAGTACCATTATTTATAAACAATTATGTTATTTTATTATCTGGATGCTATGTTGCTCCTACACTTCCATTCAGATTGAAGTCATTTGTTGAAGATGGTGAACGAGAAATGATGAATGAACAGATCACTGTTTTGCAGGATAAGGTGTGAGTGCATCCAAGTATAATTTACCTTTTTTATTCAATCCATTTTACTTCTCATTAAATATCCATGTTATCTGCAGTTATTGGAAGCTTTGGATTGGAAACTCATGCATGAGAAGAATTCAGAGGTGCTTCAAGTTTATGAAGTAGCATCTTACGAGTTTTTTATAATTAATTAGTTTTTGAGAACAACAACAACAAGCCTTTATCCTACTGTGGAGTCGGCTATATGAATCATTTTTCTCCATTGTGTCCTATTTTTGATAAAGAAATTTAATTTTATAATACTAATTACAGTTATTCTTACATCTGTTTTATCTTTTCAAAGAAGATCCTTCTAGCTATCACATATATGATATTATTATCAAGTTAATCCTTATTTGGACCTTAGTTAGTGAATTAGTGAAATGAATTTCTATTCTTGAGGTTCTTGAACATCTAAAGACTTCTATAATTTCCTGACAGGATCAGCCCTTGTTCTCCTGGGATTCTTCTGTAAATGAGGAAAATGAATTCCTCCATTTAGAGGTTGGTAGTGCTTTTACACAATCATAATTGGACATTCTTCTAAATTTCATATAGATTATGACTTCTTTGGGGAAATTTTCATGAGTTTTGAAATTTTATCTTCCTAGATTATTTCTTAAAGATTCTACGCAATTATGTGATCAGGCTATCCAAAACCAGAGGGAAGCAGAAGCACTTCGTAAGAATCTGACAGTTTGTCTTGAAGCCAAAGAAAATCTTGAGAGGTATAGAAGTGCTTCTCCTGAACAATCTATTTTCTATAGAGATCAACATGCATGGATATTGTTTCTCTTAGAAGGATATCGAGAATTTTTTTAGCAAGAATGTTCTTACTGATCTTAACTTGTTTCTTGATTTCTATTGTTGATCCTATTATGTTACTGAATTTAGAAATTAAAATGTTTTAAGTTTTGATCCATTTGTTATATGAATTTTTTTTTTTTTTCAGAATAGCATTGTTTATTGAAAACGTTTGTAGAAATAGCGTGCTTTACAATGCGATAATCCTGCGCTACATTTCCACATGATTTGGCCATCTAATACTAATGGATCATATAAAGATAATCATCTATAATGAATGTGAGAATGACATCTTTTTGACTTGTGTATAATGAAAAGCTTGTCGTAGGACTAGAATATATATGATACTTGAGATGTCACTGCATTAATTTGAATATGTTTTCATAAATAACCATTTTTACTCACCATGGATGTCTCATTGAAAAATTTGCAGGCGTGTAGACGAATTAATATCACAGCTTGAAGCGCAAAAGAATGTTAAAAATTCAAATAAAGAAAGTGGTGTGGTATGTAATGATCAAATGGAACTTAAAACAATGGTAGATGCAATTGCAGCCGCAAGTCAGCGTGAAGCTGAAGCTCATGAAACAGCCATCACATTGGCTAGAGAGAATGATGAATTACACATGAAGCTTAAAGCTTTGATTGAAGATAACAATAAGTTGATTGAGCTGTATGAGAGTGCTTCTGTCAAAGCTGCTACTACTGAGATAGGTGATGGTTATCCAGTTGGAAATACAAGGGAAATGCAGAATAACTTGGTAGATTTTCATGGGGGCCTATTACAGAATTGCGTAGACTTTCATGAAGATCAACTAGAAGATAAGAAGGTTGATAATCTTGAGCACCAACTTAACGAGATACTTGAAGAGAATGAGAAATTGATGGGCTTATATGAGAAAGCCATGCAGGAGAGGGATAATTTCAAAAGGATGCTGGCTTCTTATGAAATAGCTAGAATTGAAGTGAGAGATGAAATTAATTGCCCTGAAAAACTTGTTGAAGTAGATAAAGTAAGAACTGATCTAAAACAAAATGGGGGGGAATTCATCGGGGAACATGCAGGGCATGAATTTTCAGAAGAAATGCTGAGCCTGGTAAGAATAAAGCTGGACCAAACAGAGGTTAACCTTGCACCTTCTGGGAAAGTGATTAACTTTTCTTGTTTGCTTGAGAAAATAGCTAAAAAAGTACTGGCAGTTTATAGTAGATTTAATGACCTGAATCAAAATGTTGTGCTTAAGCAGCAGGAGATTACAGCCCTTGGTTTATCTCTACCCAAGCTAGAGGAGAGGCAAACGGTCATGGGAAACAAACTTTTGGCTCTGCAAGCAGATTTGCAGAGCTCCTCATCCATGTTTGATTACTGGGAAGAAAGAGATATTAACGGTAAGGTCAGATATGAATCATGCTTGGCATCTTTGGAACAGAAGAAGGAAGAGCTAAGACGTCTTTGTACCCTCAAGCATGAAATGGATACTTCTTGTACGAAGGTTAAGCAATCTGAAGTTGAGCTTAGGAGCAACATTGATCATTTGAAGATGCAACTCAAAGTTGCAGATGCTCAAAGAAAGGAGAGTGAAAGAGTATTGCTTTCAATTGATAATTTGAACAGAAGCAACCATTCTGAATCAAGGACCCTAAACATTGGCAAAGCAACCGACTTGCTCAAGTCTGAGGAGGAGAGAACTAAAATTGCTTTTGAGATAAAGAAACTCAGGGAGAAGCTGGTGTCCGCCAATAAAGAAATGGCAAAATTGCGCTCGATATCTGAATCTCTCGACTCTAATATTGAAAAAGGTGAGGCAGATATTACAAGTGAATCAGTTTTATTACAGGAAGCAGAACTTTCTTGGCAGAGGGTTGCTGGAGAAAAGAAGATGCTCTGCAAAATGATAGAGGATGGGATGGTTGAGCTGGGAAGGATTTTAGTTGAATATCAGCAGTGTCTCTTTGAGGTGGATCTAAAGAAAGGTGAGATACTTCTATATGAGGATGAGCTGATTCTTGAAATGAAGGAAATGGAGGACGTGAAGAGAGCACTGCAAGTGGCTGTAGAGAATCTCCGCAATTTACTGGAGGATAAGAAGGGCAGCTCATATATGATTGATCCAGATGATTGTTCAAGATTTGCTTCAGAAAATGTAGAAAATCAATTCAGGCTAGCACTGAGGTCACTTGCTGAAGTTAAGCTTTTGTTATTCGGGGACAGGGACAAATAGTATGTTCAACTGCTTTTCTTCTGATAAAGTTGACATATTTGTTTTTGCATCCTTGATCTTCCTGTAGTTAACCATTACATGATTATTGCTGGGGAATATTTTTAGAAGCTTGCATAAAACACCCTTTTTTTTGGGAAATTTACATAAATACCACTTTATTTTATGCTATTTACATATCTAACACCCAAAACATTAATCTTATATGTCTACCACCTATATAAAACTTTAATATTAAATATATCACTCTTATAATTCATTTCTACCATTCATACAATCATATAAGCTTTAATATTTCATTCAATTGATTTCTTAAAGTTGAAATATGAAATTTTGCAGAGTGGGGGAAATCAATTAATGGAAAATGATTTTAAAAAGCATATTACCAACCTGAAAATGATATTAAAGGATGTCGTTTGGCTATCCCTTTCACAACATCTTGAGGCCACCAGGTACGATTAATTGAGAAAGAGTGCTGCAATAGGCTATTAAAGAAAATCAGTAAATAAATAAAAATATACTACTTAAGATATCAAGGACATGGAGTCAAAAAATGCAATAATCAATATGCATTCCTTTTGCAGGATCCATATACTCTCTGACGATTAAATGATGCCGAAGCTGTACTTGAAATTCTTGGTGGAATTGAGACAACATTACCTGAAGTTCTTGGTAATTACTATTATGTTAAATTATTCTTATCTTAATAGTTACTATTAAGTTAAATTTAGGGGTGTCAATTCAGGTAATAGTTAGGTTTGGGTGCAACCTGAGTTGATTTGGGTGTAAATGGGTTGGCCCAAAACTGACCCGGTTTTATAAATGGGTTTGGATTTTCAATATGGACCTGATCCGTGTGGGTTACTTGTTGACGCGACCAACCAGTGAACCCGGAATATGGTTTAGGTTTTGTCGAGGTCGACTGCTCCAACGCAAGTGCGAGGCTTGTAGTTTCGTCGAGTAGGGGCGTTAATATTTGACACGTCCCAAAAACCTGAACTGAAAATTTCAGGTTCGGGTTAGAGATTTCGGCTAGTTTGTAAAACTGGGTTGTGTTCGGGTTGACTCGGAAACCTGAAATCAATTCGATTTGACCCATTTTTAATTCATTTAGGAGGGTTTTAAAAGATTATTAAGAAATAAGTAAATGCTATTTCCAAATATTAATAAACCATATTGCCCAAATTGAATTATGCTTGGCTTACTTTAAATTGATTGAAATAAATATTACCTTAATTATATTTAGGTTTAAATAAATTGAATTAAATAAAAAAATTTAGTAAAACATAGTAGAAGCGGGTCGGGTTCGAGTCCGAAAAATCCACATCTTTGAAAAAATGGGTCGGGTTCGGGTTGGGTTGAATAGTGATGGGTCTGTTCTGAGTTGGACCAGAACCCGACCCGTGACTCGATTTGATAGCGCTACCATCAACCATGAGTCTGCGAGTGCACAAGTGCGGCAATGCGGTGTGCGTCTAGCTCTAGCCGTCGAGGTCGAGCACTAGTGTTGTCCAACAGTCTGAGTGTGGGCGAGGCATTTCACGGGCCGCAAGTGATGAGACACGCGTGCGCACATACACACAGAATCCTTTCTTATTATGATATTCTTAATATTTTTTTATTAATGAATATGACTCTCTTTCTTTATAGTTATAGTAATTAATAGTGATTATCTTTTCTATTATAGTACTTCGAAGTCATTCGGATGACTTCGAAGTATTATAATAGAAAAGATAACCACTATTAATTACTATAACTATAAAGAAAAAGTAAAATATGAGACTTCATACACCTCAAAGCTCATAGGATGAAAAGAGATTCTTTTGAGATCCTTATACTCATTATTGTTGAGTCTAGTAATTAGGTTGTTAAGCCTAAGTGAATGTCCCAAGGCTACCAAGAGGGGGGGGGGTGAATTGGTAGTTTAAAAAATTTAAATCCCCTTTAGAAAAATTTTTGAACCGAAATAAAATTTCTTTTAAATTTTGTAGAAATATGTTTTTCAACCACAGAGTTTT